GCAGTGTGGGCTGTTGCTGCCGCCTGCGTGGGGCCTACGGGTTTGGTCTTGGTCAGAAGGAACTTCTAAACACCGTCCGGTCCAGCCCCTGGTGTGGGCAGAGACCTGTGCCACTCGGTCGGGCCGTGTCCCCTCCCTATCCCCGCCCGGTGAGCTGAGGTCTGCGCTGCCCTCCCTGCGAAGAGGCGAACGGGTGTGAGGGGCTGCTGGAGGGGCTCACCCAAAACAAAGCCTCCCGGGTTTACTTTCTGTTTTTTCCCCTGAGGTGGACTGCGTCTCAGGAAAGGTCTTCTTCAGCACAGAGGTGGAGCCGGGCGAGCTGAGGAGACTCAGGGCTGGAGAGCGACTGTTTTTACTGCTTAAGAAACACCCCCCGCTTGTAGTGTCTAGAAATAAAGGTATGATACTGACTCCTTCCCTCAAGCCATCCCCTCCCATTTGCTTATAGGGTGTGTGCTCATAAACGCGAAGCCTCAGTTCAAGTCTTTGTTTATAATGTTAATACTTGATTTAGTTTATTTACTAATAGCTATAGTTCTAACGGACAATAATTGAAAACCTGTCTTTCACCCAGATATGTTTTCAGTGCTTCCCACCCCCGCCAAAAATGGTTTTAAGAATGTTTTAAATAGCTGTCTTACCAGCCTGTGTTCTGCTGGCACTGTACACACATGCGTATGTGTAACACTACTCCCAACACCAACAAAATTAATGAAACTGAAGTCCTGTTCTGGACCCTTTGTATGCATTTTAAGGATCAGTTATTTGGTCACATCCTCTGATAATGTTGGAATAAGAATTACAAGTAAGATGGAAGGATATCTGCATGCTGGTGGGATTTTATGTGGGAGATCACAAATGGCCTTCAGCTTTGAGGTTCAAATCTAGCCATGATTCTACATGAGAACTAGAAATACCTTTATTCCTCCGCCCCCCACCCCCCTCTCGTTTTTTTTTTACCTTGACCAGGTTTCAAGGTTTTAAAGTGAATTAGCTTCTATATTCCTTGTAATTAAAGGGATGCCTGGGTCTCTGCTGGTGGAGTACATGGGTGTTGAGAGCTCAGCTGTGCCTGTGATTGCTGCTGTGCTTCCTGGATTTACACATTGCTGAAATCCAAACACAGTGTGTAGGAAAATCAAATGCTGAGACTGAACTACTTACCCCGAAACTGCTTTTTCTTCTAGGTAAAATGCTGCATGAGCTTAAAAGCCTTGTTGTTGAGGAGCCAAAGTATTGGCTGGATGTTATCTCTATCTGGAAAAACCTTCATGGGTGTGAGGGAAAAAAAGATGATGTCTCTCAAGAAAATCAGTCGCCTCTGAAGAGAAAATCAGAAGAAGAGACAACTATTGTAGCTAAAAGGCAGGAAACAGAACAAATGAGAGAGACTGTGTCTGAGGAATGTCAGGTGGAAGCTGGAGAGAGGTGTGTGGTACCAGAGAGAGCAAGTGATCAGGACTGCCAGACTGAAAGCAAGACTTCCTTAGAAGACCCTTCCAGAAGCAGTGGAGAGAAGCCTACTGTGAATGAGCAGCTTAGCTTCAGTTTCAGAGTTTCTTGTCGTTGCAGTGGAGCGATTGCCAAAATACTTACTTCACAGGTATGCTGAAATATCAATGTTTTAAAAGAATTTAGCAAAGGTGAAGGGAGCTGTGTAGTTTTATTTGTTATTTCAATGGTATGCTGTATGTTTTAGAAAAACAAAGTGATCTAAGCTTTTTCTGTATTTTCTCAAAAAAGCGCTTAGCCTGCATTTACCTTAATGAAATGGAAATATAAGGGCTGTTGTTAATTTCTGGGCACTGTTATGGTGCATACTTCTCAAATCAATGCCTTTCATTGAGGATAAGAAAGTGTGGTGGGTTGACCCTGGCTGAGG